TCAATGATTTTAGCCCCTCAGTCTGTCCATGGGAGGAAGATGAGGCAGTCGGCTTCAGCTTGGAAGCCCTTTGGAGCAGCTATTCCCTGTTCCACGAGGTCACTTTGAGTGGGAATTGGCTTGAAGTTCATGGCTTTGGTTGTGTTTTGTCCAGAGGGAAGGGAGGCTCAGGGAAGTAGAGTCATTTCCTGCAGGTCACACAGCAAGTAGCAGCCCATAGTCCATTCCTAGGCTGTCCATATCCAGAGTGTTCCCATCCTAGGATCTCAGCAGAGAGAACTTTTCATCCAGGAAAAGCCAGCTCATGAAACTGTAATAAAACCTGACCTTGCGTGAGGCTCTTGAAGCCGTCCTGTCCCTGCACCTCCTCAGGGGCTCAGGCAGGTGCGTCTACCCAACCTGACCTTGCCCCTGCCTCACGCTGCCTTGTGTCCACATGGGAACCTGGGCAGATTTGGACATTTCCAACACCAGTGGTTGAAGATGTGGACTTGAGAGATATTTTCACAGAATCTGTGGGGTAGTGCCTCCTGGGAAAAGCATGCAAATACCCTATTCCATGTTGGCCATCTGGTTTATCCAGAAAGTTATTTTGCCATTAACAGCCCCTCTTAAAATGAAGCCAGTAGCATGGTCCCCAAGCGACTACTGTTGGCTGCCAGTTGTTTCCAAGAACTTTTTTGCTTTCTCCTTCATCTGGACCTGCGTGTCCATGGGTCAGTGGGGACAGTTGTTACTGTGTGCACAGCCCACAGTGGGGCTGTAGGGAAGCCTTCCATGCAGACTGAAGACAGGCCCCTGGAGTGCAGTGCTTCAGGGTTCTGTACCATTAAAAAAATATGCATTCACCCAAATCGGCTTCAGATTACACACTTCAAATAAACAGCTGGTTACATTGAAATGCAGTGAAGAACTATTGCTACTTTTTTAGCATAACTAAAGATCTGCATATTCACAGTCCTTGGGGACTTGGATTTTTAAAAAGTAGAACCTTCTCTCTGTGTGTCTCTCTGTGTGTTGTGTGGTGTGTATGTTTGCGTGTGTATTAAAACATTGAGGATTTCTCCAATGATGAAAAGTAATAATACAGCTAATCTCATTGTTGCCCTTCGAGTTTTGGTTCATAAGTGGGTTTTTTTTTTAAACTATTGATCAGTTTATATATATCTTTATTTCTTCTCCACTTAATGAAAAGGTCACTCCTGTTAAGATTTACAGCTTTTGGGGGAATACAGTTATAATGTGGGGATTGTAATCACTGTCACAGATAAAATGTGCGTGCATGACTGAATAGAAATCTAATTTACTCTGTAAACTTCCGCTCAGATCACAATTAAGAGTTTTTTAAAAAAATAGCGAAATCTTGGAAAGCCCCACTGGAGGATTTACGGAGAGTCAGAAAGAATTTGATGACATTGGGTGGGTGGATTGATTTTTATTTGACAGTGGTTTATAGTCATTTACTGTTTGTGACATCCCAATGCCATCTGTGGATCCTGACCCCATAGAACTGTTCTGTAAGGTCTCCACGGCTGTGATCGGCACCGGAGAGAACTGTCTCACCTTTCTCCTCACAAGGAGCTGGGGGATTTGAACCGCGGACCCTTCAGTTACTATCTGAGCTCCTGGCCATGGCACCACCATGGCTCCTTTTTGTTACACAGTCTGATTATGTTTGCTGGCCACACACACTAGTGTCGCACTGCTTATCTTTATGGACACATCTTTTTATCTTTTCCCCATGTGGGCTGTTTGTTTAGAGGAAATTCTCTAGAATGGGAATACTTAGGTAAAGATAGGAAACACGGCCAGGTGGCTGCTGGGTTTCAACAAAACCTCAAACTCATTGCTGTCAAGTTGGTACCTATTTGGAGCTAAGTGTCCACTGAGTGTCTTAGGCTGTAGGTTGTACAGGAAAAGACTGCCCATCTTCCTCCAGCAGAGGTCCTGGGGAGTGTGAAGCACCGGAGAGGTACTGGCTTCGAGTTGGCAGGACAAAGCCCTACAGACTTCCCCAACAGAACTCCCTGCTGCAGTGGGTGGGTCTTTGTGTTTTCTTTGGGGTTCTCAGTTATCACAAAGAGTTAACCTTTGATGGCGAGTTGAAGTTGGTGGTTTGAAATCACTCAGAGGCAGCTTAGAGTGTGGTTCTGGTGGGCTGCTTCTGAGAGGTGAGAGCCTTGCAAACCCTATGGAGTAACTCCATGTCCACATGGGCTCACTGTGGACTGGACTCACCTCAGCAACAGTTTAAAGAAAAAAAACTTTAACATTTAATTACATGGCAAAATGATATTTCCCCACATGTACCGAGTGCTCAGTAATGTGACACGCCCACTGTCCTCAGGTTGATTCTGCCTCATGATAACCCTCCGTTGGATTTTCAAAGTTGCACAATTTTTTCTTTTAAATATAATTTTAATAAAATTTTTCGTCTGGGAAGATGAATGGAGTGGCTGGCCAGATACTTCTAAGGTTTGTTTTCTGGTTTTTGTTTGAGACTAGGGTGTGGCCACTGCTCGAAACAGGGTGTGAACGGATTAGATTTGACCTCCTGCTTAAAAAGGCTTTTGGTCACCAGTTTGGGGCTGCTTTCATTCTGGAAAGATGAACGGAGCAGCTGGCTGGATTCTACTAAGGTTTGTTTTCTGGTTTTTAGTTGAGACTTGGGTGTGGCTGCTGCTTGAAGCAGGGTTTGAGCGGATTAGATTTGGCTTCCTGTTAAAAAGGCTTTTGGGCCGTTGGCCTTGCGGCCCTTGGACCTGATTTTAATTGTTTTCTGTCAAACATTCTTCTAAGTAGTACAACAGTGGTCTGGCAGTTTGCTGTAGAATGGCAACTGGTGGTTGCTGTGATGCTAAACACTGTGACACTGATGTGTCAAATATGATAATAGTTACTGATGGTGGACAGTGTTTGGTGCATCTCCTGAATTAAGACAGGCTTGGAAACAGGAGTGGCATCCACTTCTGTAATAGCTTGCCTCTGGAAACTCTATGAACTTGGAGAAAAGATGAAAGTTTTTCATGTTCAATACTTTGGTTCATAGAGTTGCTGTGAATCATCTGTGACTCGACGGCACTTAACAACAACAATTTTAATAAAACTTCAAGTTAGAAAATAATCAGATAAAGTGTATTGAAAAGCAGGACCTTAGGGGAAGACTGAAGACAGGTCATCTTTAAGGGCTTAGGAGAGTCAGACTAACTAGGTTTGAGTTGCTGTAAGGTTGTACATCTTAACATGAGGAGACTGCCCATCTTTCTCCCGTGGAGCAGCTGGTCTTTTAGTTAGCTGCCCAATGTGCAATTCACTACATCATCAAGACTCCCCAGTGTGTCAGCGGGCTTCCTGAAGGTCAGTGTGCGGAATTGTGCTATTAAAAAATCTATAACGTTTATGGAGAAGATGGAATGAGGACATAACAGTCAGAAACTCTGTCAGGGACATAGCGTTCAGTTCTCCTATGCCCAGGGATGGAAGAAAACCCTATAAATGTGACAAGAACTTGGCATGTCACTTTGAAGAAGACCTGGCATTGGCTGGTGGCACTGAGTGTGGAAGTGATTGCAGCTTGTAGATTGGGTTACGCTGGAGGGAGAGTGGAGACCAGGATGAGAAGAAAAGTTTGTCAGGCCAGGCGTGGCACAGATGTGGAGCAGTTGGTGAATGTTTGAGGTGTATGTGTGTGCATGTGTGCATGTGTGCACGATCGGAAGGCTGTAGTTCTTGGATTCATCTGCTGTTTCTCACAAGACACTGGTAGCTTAATGGTAGAATTCTTAGCCTCCCGTGCAGGAGACCAAGGTTCGAGTCTCAGGCCGGACACCTCATGCACAGCCACTGTCCATCTATATCAGAGGATTTGTGTGTTGTTTGGATACCGAAGTGGTTTCAGCAGAGCTTCTAAACCAAGACAGACTAGGAAGAAAGGCCTGGTGATCAGCCAGTGAAACAGTATCGATCCACACTCAGCCAGGAGGCAGACATGAGACTGGGTAGCTTTTCTGTGTGAAGCTGTCTTGACGTGAGGGCCAGTTCGACAAGAGCTGACAGTCTAAAACAGCTGTTATTCATGATCAAAATTGTGTACAAGGAAATGCAGTATTGGCCTTGGGCTCAGATGTTCCCTCACAGATCAGTCACATTGGGTACAAATTTATGTTTTGAAAACAAGCGCTTTCAAAACAGGCCTTCTCAGAACCAGCTGTGCCTTTTTCTCTGTGTGTTTCCTCTTGTTTGATAGCATCTTAAGCTTCTATTCAATTTGCAACCTGGAACCGTGTTGCCTGAAGAGCATTTTTTTTATCTTTGTACATAAAAATAGGAACATGGATATATAATTGTATCCTCTTTCTTTTGAACAAACAAGGATTCCATCAATTTTACTTGGTAATTAAGAGTCCATCCTTGACGGGTTCGTGTCTGCTCTCTCTCCGTCCTTTGGAACCTGGAACGATTTGAGCTCCAAGAGGAGTTCCCTGTCCTTTCTGTTTATAAAGGAGAAAGTCTTTTATTTATCTATTTGGGGTTATTTGTTAAAGGAACTCTGACTACCAGCTAATATTTACTGATTGCCTGTTGAGAACGCTTATTCTCTGGGTAGTTGAAAGGGATAGGTTGCGTTTTCTCTTTGAAGGACATCCTCTCTGGACGTCATCCTGAGGGAAGAGTGAGAGCGTAGCCGGATAACAAGTACCATGTGATCCAGCAGTTTCACTGCTAGGAGTACACGCTACAGAAGTGGAAGTAAAGCGTGCACAGATAAGCATGCCTAGGCATCTGGAAGTTGGACGCTGAATAAGGAAACCAAAGAATTGCTGCCTTTGACCTGTGATGTTGGGAGCTTATTGAATATCCCATGGAGTGCCGAAAGAACAAACACATCTGTCTTGGAGGAAGTGAAAATAGGGCGCTCTTTAGAGGCAAAGATGGTAAAACTTTGTCTCACAGAGTTTTGACATATTGGCAGAAGATACCAGTCTTTGGGGATTGACGTCATGACGACCCCCGTGGGTTTTAGCATTACAGACGTCATGAGGACGGTGCAGGATACAGCAGGGTTCAGATCTGTGGTTCAGAGGGTTGCTGTGAATTGTCAACTCAGTGACGCCTAATAAAAACACCACCAGGACGTATATTCCATCATTATCCCCAATAGCTAAGAGGTGGAAGCAACTCAAGGTCCCATCGATGAATGCATGGATAGAAGATACAATCACTCAGTAGAGTACTATGCGGCACTGAAAAACAGTGAAGAATTTGTGAAACGTAACATAGCAAGGGTTAGTCTAGAGGACATTATGCCGAGTAAAAGAAGTCAGTCATAAAATAACAAATACTTCGTAAAACCGCGACTGTAAAAAGGTAAAGAAAGATTTGCATACAAAGAGAATCTATCTATGATGGTAACCAGGAAGGGGAAGAGGAAATAGGGGAAGAAAAGGAATTAATAGATGTTGTTATTGTGTATCTGAGTCAGAACTGACCCATAGCTGATCCTCCAGCGGGTTTTCAGAGGTAATTTTTTTTTTTTCAGAGGTAATTTAATTGCACAGGAGGAGACTGCCCTTCTTCCACGGAGCAGTTGGTGGATTTGAACTGTGTGTCTTTGGGATTGCAGTGCAGTTTCTCACCATTAAGCCACCAAGAGCACTAATGAATAGATGTTAAACACTTCCTAAAATGGTTCAAGAGAATGGTACTGTACAATGATTGGTTGATCAGAAACTGCATTGTAGTTGATGTTAGGGAACAAACAAAATTTGTAGGAATGATTAAAAAAAATGCTTTGTAAACTTTCACAAGAAAAAAAAAATAAAGGTAGTGAATCTGGATTCCCTAGCCCCTGCTGGGTAGATGTGAGTTTCGTCCTAGTGTTCTGTCCCATTCCTGGATTTCTCCCTCCTCCTCCCCTCCTCCTCAGCCTTCCCATGGGGCACCAGGGATGGACAGGAGAGCTCCTTGCCCTGCCCTGTGAGTTTGATCATTTGCTATTGGATTGATTGATCTTTTGTTGCTTCCTAGACTAGTGTACGGTGAATTTTGCCTCCCTAGCAAGTACTTTGTTGGAGAGAGAAAACAAAACAAGTTGTAGTTTAAGAGTCATCGATGAGTTTGCATGGACTTCTGTTGGTGACTGGAGAGGAAACAGTGTGTGCACCCAATGCTGTTGAGTTGATTCAAACAGAGGCTCATAGAGACCTCAGAGGTCAGGGTAGCACTGCCCTGAGGTGGTTTGGTTGGTTGTTTTAAAATGATTTTTATTTTATAATGGTTTCCTTACAAAGTTAGCATACACTGTGTTTCACACAGTCTTTCATTCACATTGTGTTCACAACCTGGAGTCTATGATCTTTAGACTACTTGATCTTTCTTCCGTGGAGTGACTGGTGGGTTCACACTACCTACTTCTTGGTTGTATTATCAAACCTGCTAAACTCCCTTCCTCAGCGTCCTTCCAAGTTCTTAATGACACTGCTGGACAGAGTAGAACTGCCCCAGAGGGGTGCCAAGGCTACAGAGCCTTACAGGGCAGACGACTGCTTCCTTCTCTTGAGGAGTGGTTGATAGCTTTGAACCACCAACCTATTGAGAAGCAGCTAAGTTCTTAACCACTGTACCACAAGGACTGCTGGTTGTATCATAGCTCCCTTGAATGATGAGCCTTTAACATTGTGCTAAGCACCCTTCTCTTGACTTTGAGAGTCAGTTATTTTAAAATTGATTCTGGGCTTTGCCTTTCTCTTAGAAACAGGAATGCTTTTGGTATAAAAAGGATTTAATAAACCTGGATAGGTTTATGGCTTCAGCATTGGGTCTCACACTCAGAGTGACATCATGTAAACATCTGAATTTTGAGAATTTTCTCCTGAAACATTTATCTTTCTGGCCTGTTTGATGTCACTTTCCAAAGAGGACATTTTAAACAATAGAGGCTGAAGGAACGTCTTCAAGAGCATTTGAGTACAAGGTTTCCCTTGTTTGGTTGTTAAAATTTAAAGTTGTGTGTGTTTTAGCATCAAACGGAGCCTCATGTAGAAAGTGCAATAGCTAGACCTTGCCAAGGTGAGGTGGCCCAGGGTGATGGAGTTGCAGGTGGGAATTCATAGACCACCATGCCCCCCAGTTAACTGTCTGTTAGACGTCTGTCACAGTGTGAAATCAGCTAGAACACCGCTAGAGTCTGCTCTTATTCAGACCCTCATAGTACTGGGGATAGAGATAGATCTGACACACCACAGCCTCTTGGTCAGGTAGATACAGGGCATCCATTGATGCTCATCCTTGCCCCCTGGGATCTGGGCTCTCGCCTCATTGGGACCCCAACCCCCTATTGTCTGGTCTGGGCTTACAGGGCAGGAACCCTGCCGCCCCAAGCTTTCCTCTCTCCCACTGGGAACTGATGGTGGGGAAGACGGGTCCTGCCTGGGGGAGCACAGGGCTCAGAGACTCAGGCCAACCAGGAAGCCCCTAACCAGAGCCTACTCAGATCCATCCCAGACCATAGGTCCCACAGACCCTCCTTCTGCCTCCCCGACTG